TAACGCACGAGACTGAACCTCATAATCTCTTCMGTATCCAGAATAGTTTTTAGATATTCCAATTTAAAAAATAATATTCCATCCCAAAAAGGTTTAAATCCGGAACACAAAGACAATAATCCCCTTGTATTATAATTAGGACACCCCCTTTTGGTAATCCCAATAATTATCAACGATATATTTTTTTTGTGCAACATTTGTTTCATTACTTAACCTTCGAAATTACATAGAGTCATAATACAATACATGAAATCATTAAAAGCTAAAGCAGAATAACAACCATAGTTATACGACAGCGAATCCAAAAAACATTCCAGATGCGTCGGTATAAAATTCACGGCTAGGCCGAAAAGGAGAGATTTAGTCACTTTGAGCAGTGACGTTGAAAGAGTACCCGTATCTACGAGTTTCGTCTTGACGAAACTGGTTGCATATTCTGGCCCCATACAGACCTCTACACAAGAATACAACTCGGTTCGAAAATAACTCGGCTTTGGTCCCGAAAAGGATCTTACTCTCAATGAGAGAAGAAATGGTGGAATGACGCTCTTCCCGAATGGGAAAGAGTATGGAATAGGTCTCGGATTTACAGAATTTGAGAATCCAGAAAACTTTTTTACTCTCTTGGAAGATAAATCATCATCACGATCAAAAGTAGATAATGTTTTTGAAGTTCTCAAATATGAGACACACTCAATAGTGTGTAGATTAGGCGTATTCAAAGCTGAATTGGAGCAGGCCCAATAAATAGATTTGTCAATTTTTTTTTCCAACAGCTTTAGCCCATTGAAGCGCCTGATCTTGTTAAGGCGCGGATCAACACGAGACTTGTCGCCGCCGTCTATGACGGTGAAGACACATATCAGAACAGTGACCAAACCCGAATCCAGGAGGTGGACATCAAAACCGGAGCAGATCATCCGGAGGGAGACGATTGGGAACGTTTCATCCTCCACAAAGGAGGAGACGAGTGTCAATTCTCTCTTCACCATCGATTGTAGAAAGAGAGGTGGATCTAACCTTAATGATTCGATATATGTGCCTCCCTTGTATAGAAAAGAGATTAGATCCATCTTTGGTACCGGAGAAATTGATGAAGACGTTGAGAGCTTCCGGAGCCATGGAATTGGAAGTAGCATTTGATGGGTAAATAAGCAGATCTTAAGCGCAGCTACATCGATGGAGGAGAGTTGGTACGACAAGCCGTTTATCGAGCACCGGTGAGTCACGATGACGGCAAATGGTGGTGGTCGAGAAAGTTCTTCAGGATTTGCCCGAGAAAAATTCAGGTCCGGTAGATCCTAGTCGAAAGACTGAGCCGACCGAAACCTTACCTGAAACCGATAGTATCGAAACCGGAAGAGCAAGGTTTAGACTCAACCTCGATGGCTGAGTTTCTAAAGAAGAAGATCTAAAAATTAAACTAGAAATAGATGCAGAGGAAGTAGGTAGATCGATGGAAAGCATGAACAAAGGTAAGAGAAGGCGACGCRGGCGAGTTTTTGCTCCACCGGCGTCGGAAAACGGTGATAGCTTTGATGTCTCGATAACCACGTCAGAGAGAGCTCACGGGTTTTAGCTTTTTTTTTATCAACGATATAATATTATATGATATCCGTAACACAGCTCAATTTTCCAGTTGTTGTTGATGTGGCTAAGTGACAAATTTCTGCACCGAATTTCTCTAGTACTAAAATAAAAGAAAATTTTCAAAAAATGTTATTTTTCAAGTGTTAATTTACAAAAATGCTACACTTTTGATATTTTTACAAAAATTTTACTTTTTCAAAAATTTTTTTTTTTATATTATTATGTTTGGGTTAATTATGCTCTATTAGGGTTTAGTTTGAGTGTTTAAGGGGTTTTAGGTGTCAAAATATTT